AACGTACTTTTATCGAGGATACACTCACATGGCTACAATTTAGGCACGTTGAATAAGTTAACTGTGAGAGAGAGACAATCACTCCTATGGAGAAAATCACAAGGCTGGATATAATTCTACGGAAAAGGCAGTTTGCCAAAACCGCCTACAATGTGATTAAAGTTCCATTTTTTGGCTAACGGGTGAGCGCCATGAGAGAAAGAGAGAAAGCTCCTCCAACGAAAGAGGATCGCGCTTTTCTGAAGTAGTGACGAACGAGATTAAAACGCGAGATAGAATTACTCATGAAATACCCACAGCAAAAAAATCACCGGCAGGCAGCAAGGAATTGAGTCATGACACATATAATTATACAAGTCTTGAAAATGGGCAATTCATCGAGAAGTCGGATGGATCCCATTACTATTCCCGGAACTCATCATCACCGGCGAGTCGATGGCCAAATATCGTAAATCGTCCATCAACCGACTTTCCAAGCTCCGAGAAGCCTATTCCTTGTATAAAAACTGGCATGGTCCTCGTAGTCAATCGGAACTGTTACGAACACTCCACAGCAGCCTGAACTGAAGGAGTAGAGAGAATAATGGATTTGTAATGGGAAAGTAAATAACAATGCGGTGGAAAAATTTTGCGCTTTTGGAAAAAGGCAAGCTCAAAGAGAGTCGCTGCGCTTGACCAATTCATAGGCGTCCATTCTTGTTCAAGTAGTTTGGGCCCTTAGCTGGGCCGTTCATGCTTTGCGGCAGCGTCCACTAGCGCTTTGAGCGGCCGGCAGGGTCAGCGACAGGGAAAGTATAGATATCTACCCAGCGTCTGCCAGCATGCACCGCGTCTCCTAGCGTTCGCCAGCGTCTAGCACCATCCAGCAGCGTCTCGAGGGCCTACGTATCGATCTAGCGTCTACCAGCGTAAGAAAGCGTGCACCAGCGTCAGGGAGAGGAGTATGGCACGATAGAAGGGTAGTAGACAGCTGGTAGAGTACGGGGAAATGGGAGGGTGACAGTCTGCTGATGGAGAGTGAGGCGCGATAGGAGGATACTGGGTGTGTGCTACCCTCCAATCGCGATATACTCTCCTTTCCTATACGCTGGTAGCCGCTG